TTCAGCGCAAATCGAGAACGGGGTCTAAAATGGCATTTCGGTCATGATTGCAAGAGCTTGAGTGTTTGACTGTCCGACCCTCAGATTAATGACAAGGTCGGACGCGAAAAGAACAGCGGCTCGGCGTTCCTGTCACAGACACGCAATGACTCAAGCATCCCAAACAATTCTGGACGCGAAGGAGCGTCTCCGCGTGTCTGACTGTCTGAATATCTGCCATTCAGAAACGACCTCATGCTTGGCCGGTCCACAGTGTTCACCCTCAAAATGAGGAAGCACGCAGCACGCTTGGGCACCTCGCGTGTTTTTCTTGGTGCTGAAGCACAGCGGCAAAATGAGGCAACTTTACGGCTGTGTGCACTTCCCCTTCTGTTGCAGGCCTTAGCCTTGACGAAGCAGCGTGGGCTGCGAGGAAAAAACAGGTGGGCTTACCAAGGCTGTATGAGTTAGACTGGGCCTGTCTGTGATTTCGGCAAGGAACCATGTTTAGTCGAATCACAAAAAAGTGGACATCATCAAAGTATTGGTTAATGCCGATCACCAAGTCTGCGGAATCATGTGCTTAAATGAAAAACGTCGAATCTTCTGATATGCAAAAGTTCACGATGAGAAAACACCAAGTCCTTATCCAGAGGTACTGGCAGGCTCCACACACCGAGCGCTAGCCGCTGACCTCGAAGCAATCGTTCGGCCTTTCACCCCTCGGCAAAGGCCCTGCAATTTGCCCAGGTACGACGGTCGGGTCACAAGGGTACCCAGCCATTCGACATCTCCAAGTCAACGGCAGCAGCAGCAACACACGGTCGCTCCTGCGGTTCCAGCGGGCAATCGCACGCATGTTGGGAACCTGTTCAACCTAAAGGGCGCGCGGCATGCGACGTCGATATTTCAACATCTCCACATGTTAGAACCAGGAACGGCGCATCGTAACGGACCCTCGAGCCGTGACTGCATCCGGTGGTCAAGAACAAGAACTGAGAAAATGAAGTGCAAACACGCTGCGCGCGCAAGAACCTTCCCAGCAGGACAGGTCTCAGCGATTCCCCGAGGAAGTCGCGGCCATAATGTGATTTGGCACAAGACAAAGGTGACGCAGAGCACCCCTTCAACATGCGCTGGTACCAGAAATGCGGGCTCGAAGGCGTGGTTCGCAAATGTTCGCATATGTCGCTACGCTCTTTTTGCCTGACTACGTCCAATTTTCCGCGAAATTTCAAATGATGGGCAGACAAAAGAGCAAAGAACGACTCCTTCTGGAAAAACATGTTCAGCGTGAAAGGCAACGACGTTTGAGTCTGCGTTTTAAGTGAGGCTCGGTGTAAAGCTAAGAGTTCGCGATGAAACTATGGAAGGGTTCGGTATTCAGGATTTTGGATCCTCTCTTTCACCATAAAGTTGATGTTGACGTCTACTCCTTTTCTTGCAGTTAAACCTTGAAACAACTAAATGTTGTTCCTGCGTTGGCCGGATGCACACTGCCCCAGGCTGCCTTTCTAGCGTACACACCGAACTCGCGTCAACTGCACTCTGCTTGGCAAGATTGGCGGGCAGACCACATCACCAGTGTCACGATCGTCCTCGCGTGTCGCATGCATAGTTAATTCAGCAGCGAACTGAATCTCGAACAGTCCCTCACTTCAGCGTTCACCTCAGTACTGTCTAACCCTTTCACACCCTGGCATCCCAGCTGTCGGCTTAAGGGTTCAGTTCGAGTGGCGTGATGCCGCTGAGGAAGTCGAGGAGGACAAAGGGATTACCAAGCACTCTGAACGAAATCACCTGACGAGGTGTGTGAATCTCAAGAAAATCATGAACTCCAAAATTTCAGCAGCGCCTGGATGGCAACCCACAGCCGCTCACCGAACTTGCTGGCCTTGCCCTGGCACAGAAGGCAAGAAATGATGCGGATTTGCCTTCTGAAGAATCCGATTGTCAAGCCTAAATCTCAAGCCGACTGAGTCGTTACATGCACTCTAAAGGACCGATGGCCCCAAATCCCAACGGAACTCCACGCAGAATTCAACACAAACCGACGAATCGCATCGCAGTCAGAGACCATGCCAGACCCGGGCCTTTCGGATTCCTGCCAGCGTCGCCCTGACAGAGTGTTTTGGTTCTTCTGCTTTCTCTCGCTGGAGCGGGACTGTAGGATGCCGCAGTATGCTTAAGGATGCTTGCAAGACTTCAGCTCATTGCGCTGCTTCTGCAGTGAAGGCGATACAGCTGCGAAGGCGAAGGGCTGCAGGGGAGGATGTTGGAGGTCGTGTTCTGGACTTGGCGGATTGTGTCCAAACAACAAGCTGCGCCTGCCCCAAACTCCGAGCTCCTCCCACTTCACACGTTCTGGTGGCCTGTAGACTTCCCGTAGTGCCAGGGCCAAGCGGGAGATGGTGAAGATAATCACGACCTGTGGTCTTGCAGTTGGCTTTCCTCTTGGAGCCATCTTCTCATCACTTATGTCATCAGTGGCAGTGTTCTGAGCAGCAGTCTGGTACTTGTGTTTTTCAGTGCCCTGTTGTAATGACTGCTTCAGTTGAACTGCAGCCATCGTAAGTTGGGGGGAACGTCAGTGCAGTCACGTTGTCCGATTCTCTGTTCATTAGCACTCGTCCTGCATGATCTTTATGTCTGCTCTCGATTGGCCCTCGGACTCAGAAGCCAAAAAAAGCCATCACAGGAGCAATTAAGAGAGGCAGGAAGCCGTTCATGTTTGTTGAGCAAGCTAACTTGCTAACGTCTTCACTTGTCGTCCAACTGTGCCCCGGAGCTTCTTCTGTTCATTCGTATTAAGCTTGTTTCTTTCGTCAAGATACTGGCGTGGCACGCGCTGGCAGAGCCTGTCAAGACTTCCAATCGGCCAGACCCACATCCCAAAACATCCCAAAACGTCCCAAAACCTCAAATCTGAAGCCATCAGCCAGTCAGCATCATCCTCACATCTGTGCGGGCATTAGTGACTTCAAATGAAGGCACCTTGGGCCGCAGGGCCCTGCTGGCCTCCTAGCCTCTAGGTTATTCTATCCGTATCATCTAGATCACGTCTGATGCGAGCACGTGACTTTCATCACTGATCAATCTGGCCTGGAGTTGCGGCGGTTTTTTTGGTAAAGGGCTTGGAAATATAACCTCCTCCAAAGCCACCCAGTGCCCAGGCTTCTCGCTTCTGAGCCCCCGCGCAATCTCCAGAAACAAGCGCAAGGCAAAGAGAGGGCTCTGGATGTCCGGCAGCTTGATGGTCTCCACCAGGATGTCCTGTCGAGGCGTGCTCTAGGATCCGCTGCCAATCAACGGCGTTTGCCTTGAGCTGGAGCCAAGAGCTAAACCAAACATGATATTGTGGAATACATAGAGATACATAGAGATGTTGCTCTAGTTACTCTAGTTCAGCTGGATTCCTTGACTTCAAGGCTGCATTGGTTTTATGTCCACACTCTCTTGTGTTGGGCAGCAGTCAGTGCATGCTTACTTACTTGTCGGCAAGTGGGGACTTTCGTGCTTTTCGTGTGCCGTCGGTGGCATGCCCAGCAGTCTCAACGCTTCAGCCCCTAGCCTGCAAATCACCTGAAAGCACCACACCTCGGGCACATCTTTTGAAAAGCGCTTTGCAGCACCCGACGCAAGTCTCTCGCCCGCCTTCTCAATGAAGCCACTGAGAGTGAAATCAAAAACAATAGCGACATAGAAAAAGATGTCCTTGGCCGGTCTTCTTATGTTCACCCAAATTGCCAAGCTCACAGTCCTGTCCTATGGCCAGACTCTACGCTGACAGCAGACTCTTCCATTCCACTTGGGCCCTTCACAAAGCACAAAAGGCACCCCCGACATTCCGTGACGTGCGACACATACTTCGTAGGCTCGTAGACTTGAGACCGGACCCGGTAAAGCCGCTAAGAGTCGACGTTGCCGTTGTAGGCAACGAAATCGATGGCAACTTGCTGCGTTTGATTTGTCACAATGGCATTCAGCTGCATGTCACGCAAGGCGTCACGGGTTGCCTGGGTCTTGCAAAATATCCACTTAGCCAAGTTTAGCCTGGTTCACGCTTATCATGATAAGGCCATGTATAGTCCTAACAAAAGCAGCAAGTTTCCCAGCGCGTTGTTGTGCAGAGACACTAGAATGAGTGTTGTTGCGGGTCCGGGGCGTTTTCCTCTCCCGGTTATGAGAAAAAGTTTTCTCATTTGCTGCAGGGGCAGTGCTCTTTCATGTGCTGCTATCGTTGTTGCACTGCTTGGAATCGGATCACAAAAGTTACGCGCTTGAGATCCCAAAACACCATTTCGTGGGCAAGATTCTTTTATGACCTAAAAGTACAGGATGAGCTGGAAGAGTGTAACGAAACACCAACGAGTTCTGACTAAATAGCACCGGATTCGGAAGGCTCAGTTTACAGCTCAAGGTGCAGGTCTGTGCTTTTCTGTGCTTGATTTTTTATAGGATCGGGATGCGTGCGTATAATAAATAAATACAATTGTCCATACGGACATCTTAAAAGATGTCCAAAGGTAAAACGGCTTAGGGCTTTGCGGTTCCAGGGTGTGGCGACGTGCAGCGTTTGGGGTTTCTGCGTCAGGGATGCAGGGTTACGGAATACTCGCTCTGAAAACACTGAAAACTATGTCAATGTGATTGGGCGCTGAGTGCGTTTCTACTTTGCTTGCGGGCGCGGGGTCCGTGACATGCCGGGGCCTGGGGTCGCTCACTTGCTGCGAAAAGGATTGGTGTCCAAGTCCAAGTGGTCCCACCAAAGCGCATCAGCAGGCACAACCAACACAAAAGGAGTGCAAAAGATGGCTGAAATGTCAAGAACAGAGTAGCTGGATTTTTGTCCGAGAAACATGCGAGTCCACGCTCAGCATGCAGGTGAAGCCATTGGGTACCTCTAGATCGACAGGAAAACTGAGAAAGGAGCCCAGTCAAAGTTCGCTTCGCGCCTGTTGGGAGCCGTAGGACGTTGTGTAGTTGCCACAGTACTTCTCCAACATCGCGCGGGCCCGGAGGTCGTGGACCTCCTCGGTCGAGTTCGCAGCACATTTGACAGAACCCCAGTGAAACTCAGCTGCGTGTGAAGAAATCGCAGCACCCCCAACATCTGGCTGGGCCGCCGTTTTGTCGGTCACATCCTGTCAGGGTGCCCAGCTCAAAGCTGGAAGCTGCAGAAGGGCCCAGCAAGGCGACCGCAGCAGCAGCAATGGCAGCAACGGTCATGACGTGAGAAAGCAGCACCACTGAATGAAGTGACTCGTGGAGTCTGATGGTCATGGAGCATGGCGCCATTCCATGTCTGTGCTGACAAACTGCAACACACAATCTGTGCTGCATTGTGCATCCAATGGTTTGGCATCGTTACAATCGCAATCAATCACTATGGCCACAACTGCCAATCTCCCCAACCTGACCTCTGATCCGGAACCCTGCAGTACACGAAAGTGCCCCGACTCAACCTCCTACATACAAGCTTTGCCAGGTAGATCCCTTGCAGACTCTCGTCGTCCTACTTCTTACCCTGCCCCGAACTTCAAGATCTTCAAGTCGATTTGCCCCCATGAACCCGGCACCTGATTCGGATCGCGAAACTTCTGCGGCACTGGCAGCCGTGAAGTTGCGGACGGCAAGGGTGCATCCAAAAGCTTATTGTACCTGAAGGGGCAAGGGACCGCAAGGGACCCAGTACAGGGTTTCTTAGTTGTCCAGTAACCTGGGGGAACTAAAGGCTAACCTTTGGGGTCATAAGGGGATTTACTACCCCAAAAAGGTTAAAGGTTACCTACTCTACTACTGGGTTACTAGGGTTTTGTTGTAACTTGAGGGCTACGACAGCTAGATCAAGCTAGTGTAGAGGCCTCCCGGCTTCGAGGGGAAGACCGTTCAGTTTAGTAGCTTTGGCACTGAAGTGAGGAAGGGGAAGGGTTCAGGTAAAGGACAAGTAGATGTGTACAAACAGTACTTTGCGAAGCGGGAGGCCTGCCTTAGCTGGGAGGCCGTCTGGGCCGCCCATTTCGTGATTCGGGCTTGGGATGCTTCATTGCGCGTGTGTCGACCCAACCGTATGCGTGGCAAACACCCTAAACGACGTGCTACATACAGATTCGGTGCCTTGCCTCTTCGCTGAGAAGCTGAACCAGTGCCAACACCCGAAGAGACTTGGAAAGTCATATATACTGTACTCCACTGCACTCATATAAACACTCTGAGAAGAATCCCCTCAAGTCCCTCTTGATGTCCAATACCGTCACAGCCCCAGTGCAACACCATAGTATTCAAGTATTCCCTCCCTCAGAAACTCAAAAAGGGGGTGCGGTCCTTGTGAGATGTGCCAAACCCTGTTATCACTACAGGATTCCACGGCACCAAGGCCAGTTCTATGCCCAGCAACTTTAAGGACAATCGAACCGGCGTCTGGCCCAGAAGAATGTTCCAGTCCTCAGCTACACGGCGCATGGCTGGAACTAGCTGGACGGTCCAGGATGGTCTGGGAGTCATTTGTCTCAAACCTTCTATGGAAATACTCTCGCTTCCTTGGCAAGTGTCACGGATGACGGCCTGTTTGTACTGCGTAGCCGCTGCATACGTCTCCAACTCGTTCTCACCTCGCAGGTGCAAAGTTAACAAACTCTCCCCAAGTCATCTCACTACCTTGCCGTCCAAGCTGCTGTGACTACTGCCCATCACTGATTACGCAGTGCATTTTTGAATGTCTGGAAGCTCCCAATCTGTTCTGGGTGGGTCAAGTGCACGGGAAGACCATTTTTGTCAACTGAAGATACTCGGAGTCTACAAGTACTTAAGCGGCCTGTTTGCAGACTGGCGCACGTATAGCGAAGCACATCAGGCACATCAGGCACAACAGCTTGCATCAGCTAACCCATTGTGAACTGGAGGCCTGGCAAGGCCGTCGAGGAGTTGTACAAGGTGGTGGGGAGTCCACTTGCCATCCACAGCATCACATCCTCGGGCGATTCGATCCTGTCAAAGCTCATGTCGCGCTCGATCTCCTTTGTCGCAGAGCAGAAGGGAGCTGGAACAAAAGCAAGAAGTGGTGCCCCGCACACATCAGAGAAGGGCACTTAGCACACTTCGCACACTTAGCACGTGTAGCACACACCCGAAAAGTGAAAGAGTACGTACTCTGCACTCGCCAAAGCCACCCCAGAGAGCGGGTAGAGCTTTCGGAACGTCGGCTCTTTCAAGGCCGAAGTCAGCGATTCCACGACGTCATTGGATTCGGGGACCCAAAGCACCAGGTTCACGAAGGTGACGTACAGAGCCAGCACAAACCTCAAAAGAAGGATCGACAGATACTGCACCCCTGAATTCCCTCTTGCATAACCCCAAGAATAACTGAGAGTGCCAAGTAGCACAAACACATAGATGCTGGCTTTGCTGCTGGTGTTCTCTCGACTCAGACCTTGGCCATAGCTCCCCCTTGGGGTTGGGTCACGGGATCCCTAGATAAGGCTCGGGCCATAAGAAATCTGCAAATCCTTGCCCGCAATGCTCGCACGGTTGATGCCCAACCTGAGACGGGTCTCTTACTAGTCGAACTCAGCTGGTATCTCCTCCGACCCAATTCCTAAACAGCAAACTGTCAACGACACTGCCGTGTGGAACACACTCCCTACACATCACAAACGAACAGAGCACCCGCAGTGTCCCGGTTTCGGTGGCGCCGGGCAGCAACTTTTTGCCCCACGCAAGCTGGCGCTTCCAAAGCTTGGAAAGCTGATCCTTTGCACTTGCAGTGAAGGAAGGACTGTAGGACACTGTAGCAGGCTGAGAGGTTTCGAAGCAACTTCGGGCATCTTAAGGGATCCACGGCTTGGCCGAGGCAGTTTTCCTTTTGCAGGAGTTCTGGACTTGAAATAGGTACGGTCATGTCATTGTCATCAGCCCCTTAGCAATAAACGTCTCAAGTGACATCGGAAAAGGCTGACCCAGTGGTCCCGGGCCCCTTCAACTGCTGCTGCGCGGCGTTGCCGCCGGCCAGGTCTGGAAGAACAAGCTCCTTCTGTTCCTTATCCTGTTTGCTCGCATCATCGAAGGAGGTGAACACCACAGCTCTGCTCAGGTACTGCAAGATGAAGAAGAAAAGAATCCTTGCAGATAGTTGGACTATGCAGTCTCCAGTCTTGTGTGTGGGTGTTCTGCCTTCACTGCCCAAAGCTTGAGTCGTTTTTACACACGGCATCACAAAGCTAAAGCACTGCAAAAGCCGCTGTATCACGCTGAGATCTTTCAGAGCTCCCGCAATAAATCCCCAAAGAACGTGCCCCCACCCCGCCTTAGCGAAGCGCTGAGCTTCTTGCCTTTGGACGCTACTCCAAGCCAATAACTGGTTAGCAAAGAGGCATGAAGGTCAGGTAGAACAGAAAGCCGGTCAGTGGGAAGGCATCGCGAAGCTCCTCCATGTTCGGCCATGGTCTTGCTCACCCAGGGTTTAGGGTTTAGGGTTTAGGGTTAGGGTTTAGGGTCACACAGCCCATGAAACCATCTGGACCCTCAACCCTCCTCCACGACAGACAGGCGCCCAAAGATCATCTCCGTCAGGGAAATGGCACAAAGCGCGATGTCCGAAAAGTCTCGCACGCTCTTTCCGAACAGCAGATTGCTCCATATCCTGTGAGTTGACACAGTTCTCGGCTCCAGAAACTTGGGCGCAGCAACCCGCCGAGGCACACAAAGCCAAAGAAAACGTCGCCCAGGATAATCACGAGGAAGAACACAGGTGTAATGGACCTGACAGAGGAACTCGCACTCAGCATATCTTCGAGGCTCTGTCGAGAAGGCTGCCAATGGATGTCCGTTGCCCGGTCAGGGTCCCAAGAAGCGGGGGGATGTTCTAAAACATGGGCCAAAGAAGCAAACCCATCCTCGCCCTGAGCATACTTTCGGGTGTGTAGTTTTCATGGGGGCCACACGTCTTCAAAGCACGTGTACAAGTTGTAGCTTGGAGCAGACCTGAGTCCATCAACTTTTGGCCTGCTTGCCCCAGACCGTACTTGCTGATGTCTCGGGTATACACTGGACTACATGTCGGATCTTGCCCACACCCGACAGTACTGAGTCGGGCCTGTTCCTACCTCTCTTGCAATCGCTCCAAAAGCTCCAGCCTACTCACCGTGTCCACAAGCACCGACACGCGCGGAATCAGGTCGCTCAGGTACTGTACCAAGCAGCCTTGGCCGGGCATGAGGGCCAAGTCTTTGACCTACGACCTAAGGCTTCTAAGGTCTACGTAGCTGGCAGAGCGCAGCATTTTGGCAGGCTCAGTCAAAGGTTCTGTGCGCAACCTTCCCCAGGTTTGGAGGCCAAGGGCGAGCAGTGTTCGGTGCCCGTAATAAGCTTCCCCAGCTTCTCAAGTTTGGGTGCGCACATTCAGTTGCTATGGGTTCCATACGCTCATCAATGCTTGCCCGAAAACACTACATGTGCACCCCCTTCAGGGCCACCGTTCGCTCCCCCAGCACGTTCCATCACCGCCCGTCCACGGGAAAACCCTGAGAAAAACATGTCCGGGAGTTCTCAGACGCCCCAAACGCCCCAATGTCAGAACAAGCGTCCGTGCAAGAAGACCATCATGATGCTGGCGACGATGATAAACTCTGACCAGGCCACAGCCTGGAGGTGGTCACTACGCCCACTACGCCCACTACGCCCACTACGCCCATTACGCCCTCCTGTGGCCCTGCGGTCCGAAGAAAGAAAAGGCTCTGCCTTGATTTACTTTGCACTCCAAGAATGCACTTCTCATCTGCAAAATTGGCAGTGTTGACTGCAGCATTGGTTGCACGCAGCAAGCTGTCGCACGTGTTGATGTGTTCACTGCCAAGTGATTTTTGAAAGTTGCCTACCTCTACTCCCGAACCCCAAAAGAGATCGCATTGTACTCGGGCTCAGCAGGTTCTCCAGGGTCTCTCCTCCTGTAAGCTGTACAAGCAACACTGACACTGTTGGAGCGTTTCGGTTGTTTTCGTCAGAGCTGCGGCAGCTAAGGTGGTTCCACCTTGGTGCCCCATCTCCACTAGAACCGTCGTGATTCTGGAAGAGGAAGAAGATGAAGGTCTATAAGAGCATATAAGACATACACATCTATATATATATATATATGGTACCCCCCCCCCATATGCCCACACTTTTTCCTCTCAGGTGCCATGGTAGGGTTTAGAGGCTTAGGATTTCGAAGCCTCCGAGGTCAGCGAGCACGAAAGCGCTCTACTGTACCAATGTTTTAGGCCCAGAAGAGCAAAAACGCTGTACTGTCCCAAAACAAACCCATCTTTTTAAGCAAAAACAAGCAAAAATGCCGTACTGTCCCAAAAAACCACAAAAACCAAAGTTTGGAGACCTCCAGGCCCTGGACGAGCCCAAGGTCTCCAAACTTTGGTTTTTTGGTTGTTTTTGGGACAGTACAGCATTTTTGCACTTTTTGCCTTAAAAAGATTGGTTTTTTTGGGACAGCACAGCACTTTCGAGGCCTGGGACTGCAAAAACGCTGTACTGTCCCAAAAAAACCAATCCTTTTACGCAAAAACAAGCAAAAATGCCGTACTGTCCCAAAAAAACCAAAAAAACCAAAGTTTGGAGACCTCCAGGCCCTGGAGGAGCCCAAGGTCTCCAAACTTTGGTTTTTTTTGTTTTGGGACAGTACAGCATTTTTGCACTTTTTGCCTTAAAAAGATTGGTGTTTTTGGGACAGTACAGCACTTTCGGGGCCTGGGACTGCAAAAACAGCATCTTTGCACTTTTTGCCTTAAAAAGATTGGTTTTTTTGGGCCAGTACAGCACTTTCGAGGCGGACTGCAAAAACGCTGTACTGTCCCAAAAAAACAAATCCTTTTAAGCAAAAACAAGCAAAAATGCCGTACTGTCCCAAAAAACCACAAAAACCAAAGTTTGGAGACCTCCAGGCCCTGGAGGAGCCCAAGGTCTCCAAACTTTGGTTTTTTGGTCTTTTTGGGACAGTACAGCATTTTTGCACTTTTTGCCTTGAAAAGATTGGTTTTTTTGGGACAGTACAGCACTTTCGAGGCCTGGGACTGCAAAAACGCTGTACTGTCACAAAAAACCAATCTTTTTAAGCCAAAACAAGCAAAAATGCCGTACAGTCCCAAAAAAACCGAAAAAACCAAAGTTTGGAGACCTCCAGGCCCTGGAGGAGCCCAAGGTCTCCAAACTTTGGTTTTTTTGGTTTTTTTGGGACAGTACAGCATTTTTGCACTTTTTGCCTTAAAAAGATTGGTTTTTTTGGGACAGCACAGCACTTTCGAGGCCTGGGACTGCAAAAACGCTGTACTGTCCCAAAAAAACCAATCTTTTAAGCCGATTCATATTATTTTATACAGGAGTCCTATTGGTTCCTATTGATTTAGCAAGGTTCCTTCTCATTTTAACAGGATTCCTATGAATTATAGCCGGTTCTTTTCAATTTGGCAAGGGTTCCTATTCATTTTAATAGGCTTCCTATTAACTTTTATCGGTTCCGAAAAATATTGGCAGGATTCCTATGAAGTCAATAGAGGATTCCTATTTATTTCTATAGGATTCCAATAAAGTTTCATAGGGTTCCTAATTCTTTAATAAGGCTCCTACTAATGTAATGAAATTCCTATCAAGTTTAATCAGATGCTTATTCATGTTAATGGGATTCGTATTTATTTTAATAGGGATCTCATTCGTTTGAAAGGGATACCGATTGGTTTAGGCTCATATTAATTTTAGTAGGACTCCTACTATTTAGGGGTTCACACTTGTTTTTTATAGGAGTCCCATTGGTTCCTATTAATTTTAGTAGGGGCCCTCTTCAGTTTATTGGGATTGCTATCAAGTATAATTGGGTTCTACTTTTTCTAGGGTTCCTATGGATTGAAATAGAGGATTCCTGTTTTTCTGTGTATAAGATTCCAATACATTTCCATAGTTTGCCGAATTATTTTAATAAGGCTCCTACAAATGTAATATCATTCCTATCAATTTTAAATAGGATTCTGGCATTTGAATAGGGTTCCCATAGAATTTGATAGAATTAAGGGTTCTCATTCCTATTAATGGGTTTCCTTTTCATTTTTATAAGATTCCTATTGAAACAAGATGAATCCTATGAACCCAATTAAATTTGATAGGAACGCTATTCACATGCATAGGATTTCTATTTAAACTCATAGCATGCAATCCACAATCTCGAGCAAATTGTTCAGGTCACTTCTGCTGGAGTTTTATGGGAGTTCCTCCCCCCTTTAAAACCCACCGCGGGTGGTGGAACGTAGTATTTTTGTCTGGAAACCATGCTGAAGCGTGGGCGCATGGGGGGGGGGGGGTAGCATATATATATATATATAACCTATGTCTTGTATGTCTTGTATGTATGTATGTATGTATGTATATATGTATAAGACATAGCAGGACAGAGATGCGAGCCCCAGCTTCAGAGGCCTCTTCTTCGAACATCTTGATGTTGGGAGAGTAGAGCTTGCCAGGATCCGTTTTAGCGAGCTCAAGGGTGAAGTTCAGCGACTGGTGGTGGCGGTACCTTGGGGTGAGTCTCAAGGAAGATCGCTTCACAACATGGCACGACGCGATATCGCGCAAGGCTTCTGCCCATTTTGGCAAGCTGCCGCAGCGCAATGGTTGCGATGTGCAACCCAATGCCACAGATTGACATCAATGCCCAGCCAGAAGTGAAGTACTTCGTCCCGGTGAGAATCATCTCGTACCTCGAAAGAGATGCTTTCCAAAACCTTGGAAAGACGGACCGCCTTGCTAGGATCATGCAGCTCCCGGTTCAACTCCAACCTGCAAACCCACGAAATCAGACTCCTGACGCTTCAAGATGTAAGGCCACAAAGGTGCAGCTCGTGGAAGAAGTAGCAGCCTTGAGTCCAGGGGTAGGAGGGTTTTGGGGGAAGTAAGTTTCAAAAATCTCCCCACGCAAGGCGGTAGCCGGGAACCCTTCAAAGGGGTGTAGAAAGTCTTGCGATGCAACTTTCGGTTCCTGTGGCCTAGTAAACTCTGACGAACATTTGATGGCACGGCTCCGTTACCTGCAGCCCCCTTCTTGCAAAGATAAAGAGGACAAGGAAAGCCTTCCTACAAAAGGACAAGATAGCTCGAAGAAGTCCCCGGCATGCAAAGAAAGAGTCATATATTGGAAGACCCTAGCCAAGAAGCTTACGAGGATGATGTACAAGGCATGCCAGAGGTCAAAGTCGGGCCAGAGCAGGCTGTGTTCGTCGGCTCGCACAGATTCCAGGTCATCCTCCTGCGTGACCAAGTCTTTCGGCTTGCACACTTGCACAATTTTCTGTCCGCACAGGGCGTCAGGACAGGAAGGCACACTGCGTCACTGCATCCTCTCATGCTTCGAAATCTCTCAAAACCTTCAATCCTGAACTTGCAAGCACACACAAACGCCGACATCAACATCTTATCTGAACAACCGTGAAGTGCAGGACAGCTGGCTACTGAAGCGGCGGCTTGGTACAGTTGTTGGGCCTGAAACCGGCCTGGGTATCGGCACGCTCCTGCCCTTGCTGATGAGATGTGGTCCCTGTGATCTCATGCCAGGCCCGGCACACATTTGCCAACGCGGGATTCAGCACAGAGACACCAGGCCATGGGTTTGTTCAGAAGCCCGATGCAAGACGGTCAAGCAGATCAAGCATTCCGACTCGCTCCGACGGTCCTTGACCACAAGGTGGTAGATGTTGCGTTCGCCAGTGACCAGCCCTGAAGCCTCCGCCTTCAAGGGTTTCGCGCGCATTATTTATCAATCAAAAAGTTACATTGACGTTTTCATAATTCAGTATTTTCGATGATCTACAGCATCCTCCAGCTCTTTAACAACTCAAAAAATCATCACCGAAAAACCATAACAGAAGCCCCGCGTCCACGAACCTTCTCATGTCGGTGGCTCTAAGAAGAAGAGCTCACAACCGCTGCAAGTGGCAGGCCTTGAACTTCAAAACCAGCCAGCTGACGACTTCGAAGTTTGCATTCCAGTTCATCCAATCAACCACGAGGTAGCCTGCCTGCGCAATGGCACAACAGGCAGTGCAACAAGGCCTCTGTTCTGTCATGCCAACATCTGATCCCCGGAACACGGCCCAAGCGTGTTAACTCTTAACCTAACGTACCACTCGCGCAATGCCTGCTCTTCGATAGGGAAACGTGACACCTCAACCCCTGCAGTGCATGAAGAGCCACCGTGGGTCCCAGGAATCCTCCCAGCATCCAGTCCTGAGCAGCGCTTTCCAGCATAGCATTTCGACTCCAAGCTCTCAGCTGCTACGCTGACCCAACTGGCCCATACAAGATACAATGAAAAGGGGGGGGGGGGGTTCACACGGGCCGACATACACATTACCCACAACAACGAGAAGACAAATCACAAGATCCCAAACATCCTAAGCCCCATTTCTGGACGCCACAATGTGATGAGGAATCGAAATCCAAGCCTGGCAGATGCTGCTGTTTTTGACACTGTTTGCATAGTTGACATGAATCACGCACACGTGTTGGCAATGCCCGAGGAGGCGCTGGATTCGATCGAGTTGTTTGTTGCTGTACTCGAAGGCACCAAGCCCGTGGGCCCCCAAGATCCACGTAACCCCTTGCCGGCCGAACACACCCGAGAGATACATAAAAGAGCACCTCCGGCTCTACATGAGTTACACGGGACAAGAGCCTATTGGACTTGATGTTTGTGGCAGCTTGGTCTTCCCACGAAGATAAACCACCCCAAGGCGACCATGCATCTGCTGAACGGCAGTCCGACCGATGCATGTGAAGAACTTCCACCCCCCCCAAGGCTGTCAGGCAGCATTCAGCTGTGCGAAAAGTAGGTTCTGAGTGGAGTATGTCGTCCTGCAGGTTCGCATTCACTCAGGATGACGATTGAAATCTGCATGCACAATCATGCACATGAACTCCACTTGCGTTACCACATCTCCCTAGTCCCTTGCCGGAGCTCTGACGTCAAAGAACCCAGGGAAAAGAAAGATGAAGGCTGCTTGGGCAACATACAACAATAATGTGAATTTAAGTATTTATAGCAACTCTAATCATAAAAAATAATAAGAAGAAGAATAATAATACCAATAATCACCACAATATTCTACTGCATCAACCATCCAACCTCCTCCAACCCAAATGGCCTGACAGTACCATTGGACACGTTCAGCTGCAAAGCCGTCAGGAAATCAATTTGCTCTTGCGGAATGAAGGACAGGCTGTAGACGAAGCCTGGACCGGGGGGGGGAGAGGGAGCGGAGGGGGGGGGGGGGGGAGGTATTCAAAGTTTGGCAACCCGACTCCAAGCTCTACTCGTCTTCAAGCCAGTTCACATCCGTCTACAGCCTCTGACGCTCTTCTTTACTGATCGACCCGGCCACCTATGTCTCTTGGTTCTGCCACAATCCCCAAAGATTGCCAGCCTTTGCTCCCAGCAAAGCCAGTAAGGCCATCTTCCGCACCCCGCCAGATTTCCGAAGAGTGCACAAAGCGCTTCAGAAGGGGGAAGTGGGCAGTCCTCACTCTCTGAACCAGGATCCTAGGTCTAGGTACATGTACATGACTCAAGTGAAAGAACTAGCATGATGAACCCCAGCTTCAAAAACCGCAGAGGGACGTCTACTTACCAGAGAGCTATACCGAAAACGCCAGGACAAATGAGGAACCCAACGCAGAAAATCAGAGAAAGAATGCGAAAGCTTCTATAACTATCTGCAAAGTTGTACCCTGAATTCTCCAACGGTCTCTTGACAATTTCTCCCATTGATGGACCCAGCCCAACACAGTCCTGCCAAGGTGGCCGTCTTCGAGCGCCGGATAGACGTTCTCGCCAGCCGAGTGGTTCCAGCAAGGCGTAGTCGGCGGCGTGCCCACCTGAGGTCTGCAGTGACCGTGTTAAAATGAATAATGATAGTAATAATAAGTAATAATGAAACGAATACCAATATTAATAATAATAATCTGAGCTCATCACCATTTGCTTCACGGGAACGTGGTAGAACTTGCACTCCGACTGTGTCCGTGTCCAGCAGTAGCAAAGCTTGCCATTCCGCTCCTGAGTGCTGGAGACAAAGCAGCCGACAAACCTGAATTAAGCACTGGCATTTGTGAAAATCACGAAACATGGTGTGCTTGATTCTTGCACCGTCAACATTCTTGAATACTCTGTACAATAAGGAAAAGTGGGCGAAGGATGCAGCCCCATCGTCCATCTTTTCGCACCGGTAATTGCAGTCGTCAACCACATCCGCCACTGACTGCGACTTGGTAATGGACTGCGTTCCTGCCCAGGGCTCTGCCCAAGTCAATCCACTGAGACCCTCTGCAGGGCTAGTGCTTTGATGCGCTCGAAGTGAAGAACGAAACGATTGCATTCCACAGCAACACAGGCGACACAACACAAAGCCATAGCTGCCACAGCTGCCACAGCTGCCACTTATGCCCATCTTCAACTCCTCAAATCACCCCTACCCCCCTGTCCGGTCCTAGCAGCTCTCCGGAGCAAATGGAAAACTCTTTGGAACACCACTGCAAACCTTGATTTCAGGGTTAGCAGCTGTTAGGATGTGCTGGCAACTGCACTGCAACTATCAAACGTTTCTGCGACCACTGCTCGCCTCTTATATAGTTGGTAGCATACCGCATCGCATCGCCAACCTAATCCATTTTTGCCACTGTTTCCAGGAATGCATTCAACATACCCTACCAGCCCTGATTGTGGGTGTGGCGGCGCAGGGAAACAGGGCCGGCGATGCATCTGCATCTGAAGGGGATCACAAGGACCCGTCTCAAGTGCGACACCAAGTGGGTGGAGGAGAGACACTATTCGACGCCCAAGATGGAGAGGCCAGCTGAGGCCCCTGCCGAGGCTAAAATTTGCAATGCTGGCCAAGTCCGTCTCCTGGGAGTCAGCGCGGCGACGCATGTTGGGAAGAGCTTCCATGGAAGCGACTTGTACCCGGACATCAGTCAGCAAACAAGAATGCTCTTCGACAACAGACGTCCAGAGATCCTGAACTTACACGCTGGTTGTCCTGGCTCATGTCGCGTTGGAAGAGGTGCACAGCAAAGGGTGAGTTGAAGCCGAACTCGCGGTACACACCATAGCTGCTGGTATCGTCATTCTCGTATCCTGGTATAGGTAGCCGGCCCAAGAGCATGTGCCAGGTAGCAAAACGTCCTGGAGCCCTTGAGTTCTTGCCTTGGGCCCGTCAGAATGCTGCCATGACACCCTCAGTCAGCGCAGCTACTGAAGACGAGGAGGTCTCGAGGCCCACTTTGTCCTGCCAGACCGGCTTGCGCTCTTTTGTTGAAACGAACAGAGCCTTCAGAGCCTTCAGAGCCTTGGCATCCGAGCCCAAGCAGTCCTTCCATGTCACACCTGCTCGTGTCTGGAAGCGGGGCTCTGTGTTGTTGATCTCTTGAACATTCCGAAGAGAGAACCGCACCTTAGAGCCCTAGAGCTGGCAATGACCCAACATCGTCGGATGATGCAGTCGCAAGGCACATTGTGAAACATCCGACAAAATTTGGGGGCCCAAGATGATCTTAAGTGATCTTCGAGTCTCTTAGGGTCTTAAGTCTTCGCCGCCGGGTGGCCGCATAGAGCGGGAAGTTGGACCGTGGTGTCGCCGGCGCCATGATCCGCGGCAGGGCATAGCGCAGCCATTCCTGCAGGCTCTAGGCAGTAAAACATATCACGTACAGTCAGGTGCCATGGGCACCTTACAAAAAACCGTACCCTGTAGAGTGCTCCGGCCCCCATTCCCCTCCTGAAAAAAAAAAACCTACAGCATGAACACACAGGTCCATAGGGGTTCGTCCATGAAACATCGCTGGCAAAAGGGTTTTTGCCGTGTCCCCCCAACTTCCCTTGGTAAATAATGGTCCGGGAACACTCCGAATGCCTCTCACAAGGGAAACCAAGCACTACTGAAGGTTCCTCAAGGTCTAGCATGTCCTATTTAAGAAGACCCAAAGCATCCCAAAACATTCCAAGACCCTAACCATCCCCAACCCTTCAACCCATACCGACAGCACGACAGACAGCTCAACACGGCAGGGCCAAAGGTTTCGAGGTCAGAGCTTAGGGTTAAAACTCTACGGAGTTACAGTTACCTCTTTAGATGTTAGATAGACCCTGGGGCACTGTCCTGCACATCTTCTATACTGTCGATGTCGCTGAAGTACTTCCTCTTGAGGTCCAACTGAAAGTGGTGACTACTCACCCAGTTTTCCACGGCTCGGGTCACCAAGTACTTGGACTCGATCACACCTGACAGAAAGCAATACAGGGGCCTTGATATTCTGAACAGGGTTTTGGGGGTCAGTATATTTACAAAGGGACCATAATTATTCCGACCCCGAAGTTATTTTGTGACCTGCCCCTGCCCTTTCGCAGAGAATCTGACCCAGCCCAGCCTGACTTCCAGACGAAGTTCATCGCGCTGGCAATCAAAAGGACATATATGAGCATTGAAAATACCTGCGGCAACTGCTATCCAGGCACCATGCATCAACACTCTGGCACCGGAAGGCTGATAAGACCCTTGCGCTAAGCTTTTTCTTGTCGTCCATCTTGATGAACTGGTTGATTCCAGACTCTGTGCCGAGCACCCGCTGCCGGTAAATGTCATGACCTGAGCTGCTAAACTGACGGCTCAAGAACCTTCTCCACACAACTTGAAACGGCTGGGCTGATGGATTGATCCTGCTAGCACCCGCGTGTACGCAAACAGCCGCAGTGACAAAGAGCTACAAACCTGCGTGACGCAAACGAGCTGTTTGCAACAGCAGCTGCTATGAGGTGGTGCGGAGGTTAACATGGTGGGGATGATCGGGGCGTGCCAAGGTGGGCGACATCATTGCAGACTGCACTTCACTGAGACTTCAGCGGGATAGCGAATCCCAATTGTAGTCACTCCGGCCAGTCTTGGATGGCTGCGCCCCTTTGGGCTTCATGCCAGCAAAGCTAATTCGATTGGATTTTATGTGGTTGGGCGGTTGCATCCGGCACGCTCTCTCGTGCCTGGTCTATCTACTGCTGCCGCATACACCGTAAGGCTCAATCAAATATGCTACAAGCCGTGGAAAACAACTGCTGTAAACTCAGGCTATGTGGCTTGAGCCTGAACAAGACCTCCTGCAAAATCTAGGGGGTGAGTGCATCCAACATGCTGCATGTAAAACGAAGACAGGCTCCCTTTCCTTTTTCAGTTGCCAGAAGCAGCTCCTGCATGCGTCGTGAGCAAACGGCGCGATGCCCGCGGGCTGCGTGGCCGAGACGGTCGATGTGAGGTCCCTGGAGTTTCGGGACCACCTAACTACTGGAAGCCAACGGCCATCTGCAAAAAATGGGGTTTAGGGTTTAGGGTTTAGGGTTTAGGGTTTAGGGTTTAGGGTTTAGGGTTTCGGGTTTAGGGTTTAGGGTTTGGGGTTTGGGGTTTAGGGTTTAGAGGGTTTAGGCCAGTTTAGGGTTTAGGGCCGCCACTCAGCAGACCGAGGCTAGCAATAGTCCTGAAAACAGAAAACCCCAAGCCTCCGCCAGCATCATCAACGCATCTCTGGGCACAGCTGGCAAAGCTGATCTTACAAGCTAACCCGACGCCACAGTGTCGGCTTCCTGCTCACCTGCACTCGGGTGGAGCAGGGCGTGGTCCCTGTAGGCACAATAACAGCCGATTGAGGGAATCAAAGGGCTGCATTCAAAAAGTTTGCAATGCGGCAACCTCGGCTCTGGGAGCAAAATTTGGAAGCTATTCCACTGCTGACAAGCGTTCGCCGTCCTGCTCCCAGAGCAAGCCTCATTGATGGCAGTGTGCGGCGATCTTCTGTCAAAAACTTGGATTCCGAAATGTTCGTCATTGATCATGTTCATCACTCAGGGCATGGATACTCAAGGCCTTAGTCCTCGGTGCGTTTGAGTTTTTCAGACTTCATGGCAAGCATTCGGCCTACGGCCGGCAAGCTCTCCGCCCGAACTGCCCAGACAGTCAACTCTCGGGCTCAGGGGGCACCGCCTTGCCCGCAGGCGCCGCCTGTGCACTGCTCTTTGATTTGTGGACTCGGGGGCCAGGAGGGGCTTTACATAGGCCGTGAACAATTCTTAAAACGGAATTACCTGCAGCAAAAACGACTCGAGTTCGGCGAAGCGGGATACGGACGCGTCCTCGGCTTATCCTCTCAGATTCAGGATGCTTTCAAGGTGCCAGCCTTCCCAGCCGCCTCTTGCTGTGCGATCGCCTGGAGCATGCTGCTTCAAAAGCTTGCCCCTGAAAATGCAATTCGCTACCAGTTGCCAATACGCAGGCAGTGAAGCACGGGAAGGCAGTGAATGAAGCTCTCGTTGCAAGACGACCCCACCACAAGCTCGACTCCATGCAGCTCCCTCGTGGGTGAGCCTGGATCATTGCTTTCACCTCCTGCAGATCTGGAGATATCTGGAGAAACGTGCCTCTAGGTAGCATTCTTGTGACGCAGGGTGGCACGCTTGGCAAGTGAAAGGAGCTCCCAGTCCTCCTGTTCTCGCTGTCGTCTCTTCTTGCGTCTGACGGTCCTGCAGCTGTGTGGGCAAGCTCATGAAGCACAATTGCCCGACGAACAGAAGAGAACGGCATGGGACTTTGCATTTGCGGTTTCGCGAAGTGCCCTGATGGTGCAGGGTGGCATGCTTGAAAGACCGCTCAACGTATCGCAAACCTTGGCTTTGCTACAGCAGTACATGAGAAACACCCTTCATCCCTTCCACCTATGAACCCCTGTTACTATACAGAAACCTGAATTCTCTTATACTAGGGGCTATCTGGTTTGGGAAATGCAGCCTGAAAGCCTGAATGCGGCAGTTTTTAGGTCGTAGCTTTTTGTTGAATTTCAAGCGCATATCACTGAATTTGAATGACTTGTAGCTTGATAGTTTGGGAGTTTGATGACTAGGTCTTGAAACTGCTCGAATTAGGCTACAATAGCACTTTTCTTGCCGATGTTGAAGACCCCGAGCCTCGGAAGGAAGGGAAGGGGGAGGGGGGCAGGGGGGGTGGGTGGGAGGGGGGGTGGGTGGGAGGGGGGGGGGAGAAATATTCTACGAAGGGAGGAAGCCTCCAAGACACCCTACACTCCCCGTCTTCACGATACTGGCTACTGCTTACTGCTTAACGCCTTGCTGTTGCCATGGTGTGCCGCCAACGCGCAGCCCTTCAAAACAGTACAGTGCAGCCCCGGGTCGATGGATCGACCAGCTCACCACCAAACAAGGCGCCAGCAGCACCCAAGGCCAAAATCAGCACTATGGGCACCATCACCTGTGCAAAGCACGAAGCCTTTCTGATCAAAGCCTTTCAGTGCGAAGGTGGAACTTCCACGTGAAGTGCACAAGCTGTTGCTGAAAAGACGTACGTCCGAAAGTGCGTTTTTATCTTCGAGTCCACCAAAGCACGGCTCTCTGCGTGCAAAACCGCCTGCACCAAAGGCGGCCACTGGGCAAAGAAAGGTGGATCCTTGCGGATCGCCTGCACTGACGGAATCCTGTCAAAGGCAAACGCTTGGCCACACAAAGTTTCAAGTCAAACGCTCTTGTTGGCCTGACAGAAGCTGTCTTCCAATTCCAAACCCTCTCTGGAAATGACAAGAGCTGGGACAAAAGGTGCGGGACCCAAAACCAAGAAGAGAGCTTGAACCGGTGGCTGAAACCCGAAGCTAGGCACAAGATACCGAAAGATTTCGAAGCTTCCGAAAGTGTCCCGCCCAGCACGTCTTGCGCCATAGCCGGGGACGCGCCAAGCAGTGCCAACGAGATGGCTGAGACATGCGCCTGACGGCATTGGCTCAGACTCAGGCTCAAGGGTTGCATCCGGAACCCCAAACCCTAAACCCTAAACCAGGTTATCCTTGTAGGCTGCGGGTAAGGAGAGCATAGGTGGAGTACCCACCCAGCATTCAGATCTGAAGGCTTGCGGATCTTGGGTGCCAAAACGGCCCTGAAGCAGACAGCGCGAAACCCAACCAAAATTCCTTTTTCAGTTTATTCATCGACCTCAGCCTCAAGCTTGCCCCAAGGTCACACACACAGACACACTGTCTGGAGTCCTTGGGAGTCGAGTACATGCAGTAGGCATCGGCTGATGTGTCCCGCTTAAGGACAACCAAGAATGTTGACATGAACAAACATTCTGCTTTTCCAACCTGGTCTACATACTTGTAGCGTCCAGCTGCAGCTGAGTCATAACCAGGACTAAGTCCACAGTGACATACAGCACCAACTAGCCCGCAGAGGCTATCCAGTGCTGTCCGCAGCCTCGGTGGCATTTCGTCGCACTGAGCCGCACGGCTGGACGAAACTAGGCCTGGGATCAAAGTTGAAAGTGTGCGACAAAGAGAATGCCTGGCCTGTCTCAACTATAAGCACCATCTTAGGAGTTCAGGCTTGCGTCAATTGCAATGCTGTGGAGAGGCATAAGCAATTAGAGCCCCCACTTCATCGATCGTCTGGATGATACTTCTCGAAAGGCCCGTCTGCCTGCGCACTGCCTAATCTCCACAGGGAGGCTCTGAGGAGCCTCAAGCCAGAGCCCTTCCAAGACAGCCAACAACCAAGAGCACACCAAGAGGCCCCAGGACGGCCAGAAGCGCCGCCATGACTGCGATCACACCTGACATGGTCGGCATCAACGACCTACTGCTTGAATACTCTCCACAGTCAGAACAGTCTTGGGACCGTCGCAGTCTCCAGACGTTCTGGACCACATCCAGCCATTGGACACCGACCGAACGCCAGAATTAAAAGCCCGAAGCTCTCCACTATTGAAGACGGAACCGAGCATTTGCCGAGGCGCATCGTCTTCGACGCTGAGGCGCCATGACAAGCAGAGAACGTTCAACTCAACCGAAGCTTGATTTAAAATGCAGCAGGGCGAATACCGCAATTGGGCCACCAGAGATAGAGGGCACCTGACATTCAATCCAAAGCTCAGCTTGTTCGAGCAGAGTTTGCTACTAGTTTGCTGCCACTTTGGCTTTCTAGTTTCGTATGTTCACGGTCTCCTGAACCTGAGAGCTAACTAAACAAGCAACATTGCTAACCTGAACCGCGAGAACAAGTGGGGGGGTCGGGCTGACGCCGGGAGGCAGGCCAGGTTCGGTCTCTCTCTCTCCGCACCGTACCGCTTTGTTTGAATTCGAAAGCCAGACCCTGACCTCTGTCCCGAAGCCCACATGTCCAACTGAAAGCAAGCCTACTTTCCACATTGGGTGTATTTCAGCGAAGATAGTAGGACAGCACGTAGTTGTCTCGACCCAGAGCCACTATGCCACATCATCATATTGACATGTTGTCATACATGCAGAGTCAATGCAGAGCACAGATGACATTGCCAATCATCGATTCAGCAAATGATACAAATGAGTGCCATCGTGTGAGTCCTGCAGCTCTTTTGCTGTCTAGCCGTTGGAATAATCCGGCGCTGCGGTGCCTCACCCAACACGCTGGGTTAGCAGCACCTTCTTCTTCCGCCGAGAACTTTTAGGAGCTGGTAAAGGTCTAGGCGGTTGGGTGGTTTCGGGTTTGGGCTCTAAGGACTTAGAGCCCGCACTGCACACTCGTGTGATTTCGCGTGCTTACTTCTTTGTGGGTCGTGAAATTGAGAGGTTGCCTGCGCAAGACAAAACGATAGCTTCCTCAGTGCAAGTACCAGATTTCTGGTAGAGTCTTGAACTCGAGAGTTGCTGCCTCGCTGGTACTTGCACGGATTCAAGACACCTACTAGACTCTACTGGACGTACTAGACCCTGCACTGGCTAGTCATCTCCAGGCTCCGCTGCGGAGCTGACTGGAATGGTGTGAAACCTTCTTGCCCAAACAAAGTGCCAACACACATCCACATCCCTTTCGCACTTCAGTCTGAAAGCTAAACGGCGTAGTCAACTTATTTTTTCTTGTCATCTATCCTCGGAGCGCTCGCGGGAGAACGCAGAGAACGAAGGCATCGCTCAAGGCTGCTCCGAGTCGCCTGCGCTCTCAGCAAGAGCGCCAAGATGCGCAAAGCCTCCGCAATTCGAGCCCCTTCGAACTCCCCCAGATCTTCCCAAAAGAGCCGGAACACGCCTCAGCTAAGCATGGCTTGAACTCTGGCATGCTGCTCTGAATCCGATGAAAAGAATTCCACACGCCCGCGCCTCAGATAGGTCTGAAGAGAATTCCAAGCCTCGGTGAGTGGCTTCATGAAGGTCTCAACTTCTGTGTTCCGCTGTTGTGCCTCATGATGGTCTTCTCTGGCCCCCGGCGTGTTTGCGCCGATCTCCGACAGCCCGCAGGTCTCACACCTTGTGTAGTGGCAGGTGGCAAGTGACCGTACGAACATCCGGCACCAAACATGGACCACAACGCTTGCTTCAAGAGGCCAGCGACACAAGAGCATCCACCACATCTCGCTGAACCCTGAGCCCTTCAACATCTCTCCGAAGCAGTTGAGAAGGCTGCAGCTTGCCCTTATAGGAGGCCAGGTAGGTGGACCCGCAATAAGGGCACCTGCACACTTCAGTTGGCGCAGCGTTCTTGTGCCGAATATGGGTTTCGTCAGCGCTTACAGTCAACGTTCTTGTTTCCTCCTAGTCGACGGATTTCAGTGCCCACTCGATGTGAGACATTGTGAGAATGCACAGTGACTGAAAAGTGCCCTACTTGGCACAACGAGTCCCCCAGACTTCCACACTAAGCTGTCAGGTAAGGTTCCAACAAACCTGAACCAGCTTCGGACAGCGACACCACAACCTCCACAACCTCCGCAACCTCCACAACCTGTCGAACCCCTGAGTCGAGCACGACAAGGACGTATCATTGGCGCCGATGGCAGTGAAGGATGCAGCGCAAAGCTTCACATCCTCCGCGCTCGCCTTTCAACATCTTGCAACATCTTGCAACTGCCTCTTCCGTTTGAGGAGTGCTGCGGACAGCGGTAACTGGAGGGGCGTCGGATTTGACCGCTCGAACTTGCAAGACAGTCGCAAGACTATCAACATGTCCGGATGGTCTTGTGGGGCAAAACCGAGGCATGGGGAGCACCTTCACGGCTGTCGGCTGTCGAAGCTGCAATTTTGCAGCAACAGCAAGCTTCCGCGCCTTCGGGTCAAAGTTGATTTGGTGCTTGTCTGTTGCCTGCCAGAGGATCTGACAATCATGCATCAGGCTGGTCAACCCATTGAAGAGGCGTTGCTTAGAAGCATTTTCTGCTCTCACATCACCCCTCTGCGGTTGCAGTCGTTCGGCGTGAGACATATCTACTAACAACCGATAAAAGCCCTGAGGCTACGAGGCTACGACGATGTGCGTAGCCAACGTGCTGCATTGCAGCAACAGAAAGCGTCGCGGCAGTGGCCAGTGGCCACTCAGGCTTGATCATGGCTCAGGCTTCGTACTGCTCCAATTCGAGAATGGCATTTGCCCAATGAAAGTACTTGCGGGTACCTCTCGAGGGTGCGCATGCTGGCTCTTTGCTCTTCCCTGGCCCACGCGTTGTCCCACCTAAGTGTTTGATTGTTCGGATGTTGATGGCCGCCAGGACGTCCACACCTGCCAAGTTGTGTTTCCAAAGAGCAGACTTGTAAGGAATCCACAAGCTGGCCCTGCAGGGCCCCCGACTTGCATGGCGACTCTCATAGCATCTAGAACCAGGCATCACATGAGGGAAGAACATAATTCCATCCGGGGCCTTCCGGAGGGAGGATGCTCAGCGCTGACACAGGCAAGTCAACGACCTGCAGCTTTCAGTGAAACTGAGAAATGCATGAGGTCAGATGGCTCTACTGGTGTCGTTATGTGTCGTTTGGTGTCGTTTGAGAGGCATTACCAGGGTGCGTTTGCACTGCATTAAGACGCACAATGCCTGCATCATGCGAGGTCACTGTGTGGTACGCACACTACAAGACATGGATATGTTGAACAAATTTCGGATGTACAGTTGTGGGCTCAGCCACTCCACATGCTGTATCCTCGTTCCAGCACGACCGTACAATTTAACATCTCAGGCTCTCAGGGCCCCGTTGAAGAAGTTAAGTCCGTGCAGCTCAGACTAGCATACCCTGTCCCCGAGCAGGCTCCTGCCTGCTTCAGCGGCGCCGTCTCATACTCCGAGTCCAGCATGTTCCCTGCATTGAGTGCACACAACTGTCACACCATCTTTCGGTGCACGAGGAAGACCGTTTGTCTGCACTGCTACGGCCATCACAGAAAAGCCGGAGGGCGGATGTTCATCTTGCCAGAAGGGGCGCTCCCCTCTTTGTCATTCTCGTCAGTGTTTTCCGTTGGCCTGGAGCGTTGTGAACGTGAAATGCAGTCAGGGTCCTGCTACCAGCTCCAGCAATAAGCCAAGCAACGCCATGGTCACAATCGCCCGGGCTAACAGGAAGACACGCCATCCTTCAACAAGGCGGCGCAGCTGAGCAGGGATTTAAGTGCTGCGTTTGAAAGCCAACCACGGTTGCGACAGAGACTGACACCCTACCACTCTCGACACACTACCGCTCTTATGCCAGCATGCAAGTCGCCGACAAACAAAAGCCGGAGGAAAAGATGCAGCATCACGGGACACTACTAAGCAATAAAACGTGCGGGCTTTGTTCCACGTCAAGAGTCCAGCTAGCTCGCGGACGGTCTTGATGCCAAGCTTCTCCAGGGTTGCCTCTCCATTTTCCCCGGAGAGGCCTGCGTCGGAGAATCCGGAGACTGGGGCTACTAAGGTATCCAGTCATGTTGAGGTTTGGATCTCTGCCAGTTGCAGCGGGCGTCCACTCAATCGAGTTGGACATATGTGGCTCTGCATGAGAAGTCGAAGTGGAAAGAGGAGCAGGAGGAGGACGACGACGACGGGGAGAACGAGGAGGCGGAGCGGCGGCAGGGGCAAAGAGCAGCAAGAGTACTAGGGGTAAGGGGTAGCAAAAGGAGCGAGTAGGAGTAAGAGATGCAAGGAGGAATAGGAGAAGCAGTACTAGACCTACAGTAGCAGTAGCAATCACGAAGCCCGTGGTCGACCCATCGGCGAAGCCAATTGTAGCCCGTTAAGTAGTTAGCCGACTTAGGAATCCCTTGTCGGGCTAGGTGTTTTGCCGGCTTGTTTTTGATGTACCAAAGATATTACAAGCAAGGCGGCTCATTCGTCACTTAGTAACCCGAGCGCTCGTCCGAATAGTACGAATTGTATAGTACGTATAGTCGTACCTATACGTAAAGGGCGACAGGAAGCGAAAGGAAAAGAAGGTACAACTCACACTTTTGTGCACATTGCACGAAACGCAGGTTTTAACAGAGTGAAGTCGGAGATAATATGGTGTCAACTACGATCCCTTAAAAAGAAGAAGAAAAAGAAGCAGCAGTAGTAGTAGTAGTACTACTACTACTACTACTACTACGACTACTACTACTACTACTACTACTACTACTACTACTACTACTACTACTACCACCACTACCACTACCACTACCACTACCACTACCACTACCACTACCACTACCACTACCACTACCACTACCACTACCACTACCACTACCACTACCACTACTACTACTACTACTACTACTACTACTACTACTACTACTACTACTACTACTACTACTACTACTGCTCCTCCTCCTACTACTAGTACTAGTACTCTTACTCGTACTCGTAGTCGTAGTCGTAATCGTAGTCGTTGGCAGGAGTAGGAGCAGGAGCAGGAGTAGGAGCGCTGCAGTCTGCTATAGCTCGCTTCGTAGCAACACTAGCATCTTTGGCCAGATTACCTGATTGGATTGGCAGTTCGGCTCCTCCTCCTCCTCCTCCTCCTCCTCCTCCTCCTTCTCCTCCTCCTCCTCCCTCCTCCTTTTTACCATAGTGGTAGTGCCGCTGCTATGCAACTGAGGCGACGCTTGGTGCCTCTAATGGCATGCACTGGAGAATCCAGGATCTCCTTGATGCTTTTGCCTCTGAAGTCCTGCGCCAACGCGAGAGTGGATGCAGTTCGGTCACGAGAAGCCCTAAGGCATCATCTGAAGCAATGAATACGACGTACATGGTTGTCTGCTTGAAAAAGGAGTCGGAAATGTCGTGCAAAGTTACGATACTGTTGTGGTGTGAAAGCCAGGCGAGTTCTGGTGGTTCGTTTGGGCTGTCGACGCCGCAAGTCAGCCAGCCCAAACCACTACGGAAAACTCGTTAATGATCTTTGGTCAGAGCAGCACTACGTCACTAGGTGTCACCAAGTGCCTTTTCCTATTGGCGCTGGCGGCCAAGCTTTGTGTAGTTCGACAGTGACGTGCAAGGCGTGGCAAAGTACAAGGAGTTCTGTGCACTCGTTCGTACATGCCCATCATCGTCCTTCACCACAGCCAGGTTCATGTTCATCTTGTAAGGATCGTCGGTCCAGCCCTGCACGTGACCTCGGTTCTCTCGGAGGGCTACCACATCCAAGCATGTGATGTCTCATGTAATGAATCATTAGGCAATGGACCTCCCTGATGTGCCTAGTGTAATACATTTAATACATGTTGGTCCAGCCGCGGACGTAGTGCGCAGCCAACTGCTCCTCGGACAACTTGCTCAACCATTTCCTAGGCAAAGGAAGCAAAAAAAAACACGAGAGCCTGCAAAGTGAACGCGGCGTGACTGAAGGGTCACTGAAGGGTCTTAAACTCTTGAACTATCAGCCAAGCATCTTGAACACTGCCCTGTCAATGCCCTTCACAGGATCGATGCCTGTTTTTCGGTGCTGTGGTCAGATCCTCTCAGGCCTCCCCTCTGCACTGTCCCCCCACGACGCCTTGCGAGCCGCAGAACTTCTCAAAACCAGCTCGGACCTGCAACTTCGTCACGATGAAACACAGGAACCACTCCTCTCTCAATGTCTGCTGACCGGTGTAGAGAGCTAAGCTCCACAAGCCTGCGGCTCAAGCACGTCGTTTTTCACGGAGCTCTTCATGTAGAAAGGCAAGATCTCCTGCGTTGACCATCTACAGCCTGCGTCAGCCTGTCCACCTGTCTCGGAGCATGCGTCGCATTTCATGCACATGAACTCTTCTGAGGGATGTAGGCGAAGAAGCCCCAAGGTCCTCCAAAGTCAGGGTGCCGGAGCCATCATAGTCCCAGGCTTCGAAAAGCCCATCCAGGAGTTCCTTCCATGCTGGGGCATAAACTTAAAAGCGTCGTGCACCAACTGTGCATTGTGCTGGACGCACTTCCCTTGTAAGAATGAGAATATCCGGAATCAACAACGGAAATCCCAACCTCAAACCCAATCCAGCTCTGCTGTCGCGACGTGCCTCCCGGTTCTTCTCCTCCACCACAGCCTTCCGCTGATCTTCGAAGGTCGTCTTCTTCTTCTCAGCCGCAGGACAGAGAAAGCTGAGGCTCGGAAGCTTCGGTGCAAAGGCTCCTTGCTTGTGCACTGTGTCACCTCGCACCACCACCACCACCACCACCACCACCAGAACCACCAGAACCACCACGAGAACCACCACCACCACCACCGCGGTCACTGCCAACAACATTGTCAAACCCGACCTATTGCTTTGGAACCCCTGCCAAATTCCCCATCACGACACCCATGAACAAGCCCTGCCTCGACCTTGGCCTTCTTCGCTGCCGGCTCTGCCATGGGTCGGCGATCCTCGATACCGATCTGGCCCAGGGCTTGTTTCTTTGATAGCTTTGCAGCATCTAGCTGAAGACCATGCATCGCTAAGATCGCGCCAGAGCTCATTCTTGGGTCCAAGAACGGAAGTCTAGTGGCTGCTGTTGTGGTTGCTGTGGTTGTTGTGGTTGTTGCGGTTGTTGCGGTTGTTGTGGTTGCTGTGGTTGCTATGGTTGTTGTGGTTGCTGTGGTTGTTGTGGTTGTTGTGGTTGTTGCGGTTGTTGCGGTTGTTGTGATTGCTGTGGTTGCTGTGGTTGCTGTGGTTGTTGCTGTGCTGTAGTTGGCATGGCGAAGGGATTGTGATGGTGGCGGTGGCGCTGGTGAAGGGCAGCGAACGGCGGACGCGCTAATCGCCTGGACTCAGGCAGGAATGGGCCCCTTGCAGAGGTGGGAGGAGTCCTGTTGGTGATGCTGTCGTTGTCGACGACTACACATGTTCGTCGTTTCTGTTGATTGATAACTCGTTGGCTTGTTCGTGGGTGTTGTTTCTGGTTGTCTTTCTGTTTGTTTGCGGTTTGCTCCCCACATCTCTCTGTGGGGTTCTGGCTTTTCTGGCGCCGCGCGCACCACTCTGCACACGTTTCGGGGCGATGTCGGTTTCAAGGGCGGTTCGGTGACCCGGCTCTCTTTAGAGGGGTAGAGAGGCTCCGGAGCTTTCTTTGAAGGCAAGCTTTGGAGGTACTTCTGCACGTTTCATCCTGGTTTCCAGCCAAGCATTTCGAAATCAATGTCATGTAAGCATTGCAGGGACATCATGACTGTGCTGTGCAGTGCCTTCCTAAAGCTTATGGAGTTCGGCCAGCGGCTAGGATAAAAAAAATGTCGTGTACAGAGAGCCATGTAGCGCCCATCCTCAGAAGCTATGCCACTATGGCATAGGGATAGAATGCTTTTCAAGCGCTCCGTTTGCCTCGAAGCACTTCTTCCTTCCTCGTGTAATGCGAGATTCGTCTAGCGCGCCCAAAATCAATGAGTTGGTTTGTTGCAGTTGTAGTTCTTGTCTTCTTTCTTGCCGCCCATCCTGACCAAATCTCAGGCGCGAACAGCCTCAGGGTGCGGAAAGCGCCACGCTAGCACAGCAGCATCTCTGAGCCAGAACGTCCCATATCAGGCACAAGTCCAACACAATGAAGGCTCAAACTTTCCCTAAGACGTGATCTGACATGTGACATGGTGTTCTCAAGATGAAGCAGTCTCTGTCAGTCGCTGGACCTGACACTGCAAAGGCTCTGTCCCGGCCTTCTGCTCGCATATCTGGAGCACTTGTCTCGCTTTCTGCACATCCTGCATCAATGCATTGTTGTTTGCTGTAACCTTCTTTCCATTTCGCATCGGCAACGCGGGAGGCTCAGCTTCGGGCATCTTTATGCTTTTCGGCTGGACCGAAGTTGCCCTCAATTCACGAGAAGCTCAAAAGCAGTGCACACGGTGCAAACTCATGGAAAAGCTGCTCTGCCCCCCCTTTCTGCTGAGCACTGCGCCTGTATCATCCTCTTCGCAAAGGACGCGGCGCTCACGAAGTTCTCGTTCTGGACGGAATGGCCGCACCGTTCAAGCTTCAAGATGCAAGTGCTTCAGGGTATCAAGGGTGCTTTTTTAACTCCCTTGTGCTTCAGCAAGCCAGCTTCCTCCAACGCTCCCGGCAGATCCTACTTCAGCCTCGGGCCATGGACCCCGCATGTCCCAAATATGACCCCATCCCGCCACAGACCTTGAAGGCGATGCCCATGGCCGTCTTTAGGGTTAGGAACTGGTGGAACTGCTGCAGCTTGCCTGGCGCAGAGCCCCACTCAGCTGCGCAGGCCGGGTCGCAAGCAAGCCAGAAGGGCAGCAGGTGAGGTAGGCGTTGAGCTCGATCTGTCTCGCAGCCTCCCGGCAGCAGTCCCGTACACGCACTGTAAATGATCCATGGGCACAAGGCACAAGACCGCCTTGTCGGGAGTCAGCTTTTTGCTAGTCACCTGAAAGCCGGCTCAACAAGATCCTCAACTTCAAGGATTTGAATCAATTCGCGGCAGCAGATCTGAGCAGAGCACCTGTAGTCTTGCAAAGGTCACGTACTCTCTGCACATCTCAATCCTTGGTCAGCCGGGATGAAAAAATCCAAGAAAAACGCTGTGGTTCCGGCGTCTCTTTTTCCTTCTGCACCCTGAATCACTTGGCCCGCAGCATGTCCGTGAGCTGTCGCTCTTCGTTGGCATCGTTGGCCTGAGACATGGGCGAACCAGCTCAAATAGCCAGCCGCTCACAGCAGCGATTTTGCCAAATCTTGCCAAGCCACCACCGAGAGTGGGATGGACTGCAGAGCGCTTCGGAAGACCGATAGAGCCTCATTGGTGCAGGGGTTTGAGTTTGTGAGGGAGCTAAGACAGACTGCAGAATGCTTCACTACCCTGTGGTACCGCGCTCATCACGCACCAGTCAGGCGGTCAGGTGGCAAGTTCAGGCTGTTGTCGCTTTCTCAACTTTGACATTGTGCTGGATTTATGATGATTTACGGCTGCTGTCAGTGCCCGGCGTCACTAAACTTGCCCGCGGAGGTCATCTTGTGGGCCTCCTTGACCCTTTCCAGGATCACCTGCCAAAGTTCTGCTCACGGGTGTCCTTCTGCTAAACATCTGCCGAAGGCCCAGAACACCGAGAACAAAAAGGCCGCAACGGCCCCCGTCACTGCCCAAGGGACAGCAGTGCCTGTGGGGTAAAGAGCACCATCGGAGCAATCCTGAGATGACAGCTTCGGATGTTGCGGAACCTTGAATAAAGGGCTTTGCTCGAAGAGAGGGCCCTACAGCCCACCGTCGCACGCAGGCATTCGCAGGCACGCACGCAGGCATTAAGGCCGGCGGGCAGGCAGGCTCGTACGCCCTCACGCAAACAAGAGTAGATCTGTGTTGGCTTGTCGATCCCTGTCGACTTGAACAACTCTCGACTCTTTCAACAGTTGTCTCTGTTCACCTTTTCTCCTAGGAGCCCGGCTCCCTGGACTTCAGGCTACCCTCGGAAAGTAGAGGCCAGTGGATCGACGCCATCTGAGCACGATGCGCAGGCTAAAGCGGCTGGGGGCCTGCATTCCAGCCTCTATGTGAACCTACCCGGTGCACACTGGATCGTGACAAGCTACATCAGCACAAGCATGGCCATCCTGGTGTGCAAAATGCTCACTTTTATGGCTCTTTGGAGCAACCCTCTTCGTGGTTCATGCTTGGTCCGCCACTTGCGGCAGGCCAGGCAACGATGTACACGCAGCCTGCAGCTCAAACGGATCCAAAGTCCAGCACAGCAAAGGACAAAAAAAACAACACCAAGCACCCCCCCAATAAAAACCAAAGCACAACCCCCAGCGAATGCTGGCAATGCCTGTATATTCCACCTTGGAAGCTGAGATCAGGGCCCAGTAAGCTTGCTTGAAAATGGGCTCCAAAGGCTCTGCCTTGGTAAAATTCCATCAGGTGGGGCTCAGGGGGCCGGGGGTGGCGTGCGAAATCTTCAGCCATCCAAACAAGCCAGCGAACCAAACCGTTTAGGCCCGACTCTCCAGACGCGAAATTACATCCTCGTAAACGTAAAGATGCCCGCACGGGCCCCCCTCCAATTCCCCGTCAGGGCCCTTCGGAGGGCACCCCCGTCAAGCTTTTGGGGGGATGCCCTCCTGGGGTTGACAAGGATTGCGCGCCAAGAAGAACATGCAGGGCAAGGAATGCAAGGAGAGCAAGAATCCTTTCAACCCCGAAGCCCTAAAGAAATCGAATTTGGATGCACCGGAGGTGGGCATAACTGAGCTGTTGTAATAAGGGAGCCTAGGGGGTTCCATGGGGGCTTGGGTTGAGGGCAAGCAGTCTGAAAATAGTCTCATGGGCCTTCTTTGAAATCTTAATTTTGGGCTCGACGAGCTGAGATCTCAAACGTTCCTGACTTCCCGGGCTGCAAGGCTTCGGAAATGAGTGAAGTTCTGCCCGTGTGCATTCAACCTCAACACATACGACGAGCCCGCCGCCCACGATCAGCCAAATAGGGCTAACCCGCATGTCGGGCTTCCCTGCCCCCCCAACTGGCAAACACGGGGCCGCATAGCGTTTTTAAGCCTTTATGATGGGCTAGGCACCTACACGTACCGCCTCCGGCATCTTCCCACAAAGGCCGCCATAAAGGCTTTCGGGCTTCGGGCTTGGGGTTTAGGGTTTGCTGTACAATGGCGTTTAGGCTGAAGAAAATTGTTCACAGAGAGTCAGCGAGTGCATCGTGCGCGATATCCAACACTGTACGGCTGAAAAAAGCAGGTGGTTGGGAGCAAACGCAATGCTCGCACTGTGGATTTGGAAAGGCTCCATATAGTTTTGAGGGAATGTCTACTGAAGGCGTTACATGCTTTGAAGCAAGCCTGCACTGATTATGAAAGAGCGGGCGGTTGGGGAGGGGGAGGGGCCATTTGCAAGTTATCTCTTTCGTTCTTCTGTATTTCTTCATTTTCTTGCGCTCTTTATGTATTTCCGCTCTGTATTTCTTTCTTTCGTTCCGTCCTTCTGTCCTTCAATCTCTATCTTACTCTCCCTCCTTCTTTCTGCATGTATGTCTTTACTTCTTTCTTTCATGCTTTCTTTTCGTTTTGCATTTGCTTGGTTCTTGCTTTCTTCCTCTCTTTCCTCTCTTCTTGCCGATTCCCGGGCCCGACATTTCCTCCCTCGCCTTCTTTCTCTGCCATATATTAACGGTCTAAATTAATTTGAATCCTTGATGGCTTTTGAACTTGAGGGCCCAGAGGACATGCTTCTGGTCGCATGCCAGCGAGCGCTTCTCTACTGCAGACCTCCGTTGCAGCCAGCATGTTCTCGGCGGCTCGACATGTCGCCAGGGAGGTGCACTCAATGCCCAGACTCAGTGGAGATGCTATCACAAGCGCTTCCCATGCCAATGCCGGCCGTATGCACTTTCCAAAAGGGCCGTCTCCCGGATCATCGTTTTCAAGAAAGGCTGCGTGGGCGGCAGTCGGATACTCAACTCCTGACCCGTCCCTTCAACTCTGCTACGGTTCCGTATGGATGCGATTGCCACCGAATGGAAACTCCAAGCCGGCCCTGTAGCCGAGACAGAAATGCAGCACGTTAACAATTGCAGCCTGCAACCAATTCCAGCAAGCATCCACCTTGTACCTCCATTTCTCATCAGATTCGCTCAGCCGCAGGCGTTGATCAAGCCGAGCCGCCGCTTCAGCAAGCCGAGTGCCTTGCGACGATTTACAGCTCGGCCAAAAGTACACCTAAGCAACTGTAGTTGCTCGGCACGATACGACGGCATTTGTGTGCTCTCAGAACTCTCGAACTCATGCTCCCAATGCAGCCTCCTCGAAGTCGCCAGCTGCGACAAGGTCGGCAGGGAGCCGACGCTTTCTGAGCCACTTGGCCTGTGGGCTCGTTGGTTCAAATATGTTCAAATTGGGCCTTTGGAAGCTCTCCGCACCATCTTTGGCAGCAAAACTGAGGGGCAGTTCAGGGCATTGTGAGTGTATTCTAGCCCGACGGAATGAGATCCAGCAAGGAGGCTTTGCACACCACCCCTGATGGCTTCAGCCCCACTGAAGCAAAGTTGGCCTGGCAGCTCTCGCCCAGGGTAAGATTCACACCACGATCCTGATCATCTGTCACCACAACCGCTCTCAGGGATTCTTAATGTGGGAAGATCAGCTGATGACTTTCAGGGACTTGGGCTGTCAGCATCCTTCTTTGAGCACATCGTGAGCATCCTTTCATGACTAACCGCGACTCTCGATGGTTCGGAGCACTCTTCAACTTGTTGGCTAAACATGCGCGCACTAGCTCGGCCGAGTGGAAGCTCGCCTCCTCCTGCACCTCGTTGGACGCAGGCAGCAGTCCGCCCAGGTCTCCGAGGTCCAGGTCCCCTGTCAAGCTGCTGCAGTTGCAGACTCTGATGGCTAAAGTGGCTACAGCAATCATCAGCAATCATCAGCAATCATCAGCAATCATCAGCAATCATCAGCAATCATCAGCAACCATCAGCAACCATCAGCAATCATCAGCAATCATCAGCAATCATCAGCAATCATCAGCAATCATCAGCAATCATCAGCAATCATCAGCAATCATCAGCAATCATCAGCAATCATCAGCAATCATCAGCAATCATCAGCAATCATCAGCAATCATCAGCAACCATCAGCAACCATCAGCAATCATCAGCAATCATCAGCAATCATCAGCAATCATCAGCAATCATCAGCAACCATCAGCAACCATCAGCAATCATCAGCAATCATCAGCAATCATCAGCAATCATCAGCAATCATCAGCAATCATCAGCAATCATCAGCAATCATCAGCAATCCTACTGCTTGCTGCATGGTCTTGTCCGACCTGCCATTGCAGTGCACCCCTGTCAGGATGCCAGGCTGTTTGCCACCTGAAACCTAGCCTGAAAGCTCACAAAGCTCAAGCTACCTCCCCAGTCGCCGCCGCCCATGTCTGCACCCAGGTCCAGCGTCGCCTCCTTTTCACGGACTTGGCTTGCAGATGCTTGCAGGGTGTGCGCATCGGCAAGCTTTTGAATTAAAGTTTGCAAAAGTTGTTGGCACAATGAACTGATCATCTTCTACAAGGCGAAGTGGCCATCGTTCGCACAAGGCTCAGGGTCTCCTCCTCTCCCCACGCACCTCCACCCAAGGCCTCTGTGTCCTGCTGCGGCTTACAAGCCGATGTGCAATGGAATCGGCACTCCGGCTTCTCACGACCTACCCTCACGTTCTTGCACAACTACTCGCTTCTGTAGGCTCCCCTGGCGTTAGCCTGCAGCCTACAACCTCTGTGCAGGCTTTGCATGCGACTCCCTAAACACTGGCCTCTGGGTTCTCCTCTGCGTCCAGGAAGGCTTCCGAGCCGGGCATCGGAGGGGGCGCAGCCGCCTTCATTATCAACTTCCAGCTCAGGAGTCCAAAGAGACCGCATTGAGGGATGGTTGGGCTTCACAGCCTCCGAACTCTGGAGAAGCGGCAGCGTATTTGGGGGTGGCTGAGTGTCTTTGTCAGGGGAGAAGCTTGATGGAGGGTAACTGAAACGGTCACAAGCTTTTTAAAGCATTCCGGAATCACACGAACCAAGATGTCGGCATGTAAGCGCTGGGTGTCTGGGAGGTGTGGGGGCTTTGCACAACATATGTTCCACTTGAATTGGCGAGTGCAAATTCAATAGCACAGCTCCCGCCTCGAAGCTGCTCTTCTCGAAGATCTTCTTGGTGGACCTTGGGAACATCTTTGACAAAGGGGCTCCTGGTGGCCCTGCCGTTGTTCAGGCCTGGTATCAACCTCGGCCTCCTTAATTTCCGGTGTGTACCTTGACCCACTTCTTATCTCCACTCATCAATCGCAGATGTGGTGGCATTGAGCCTCATAAGAAGCATTACCGCAAATCACTGGTGCCCGCACTGCATGTCACGCATGACAGTGGCACCTTTCAATTCCGGCCGGCACAGCCACTGTGGCCCAAGCATCAAGAGGGGCCAGTTTCCAGAGTCACCAGCGCCAGGTCGACAAAGGGGCACCGGAGGGACAAGCCTCGAGATTGCGACGACCGTCCACGATGTTCATGGATGTATGTGGGGATGGTAAAGAAAGCTGAAGAAGGATGAATTTTATTGCTTCTGTTGATCGCTCAGGAATCAACACAATAGGAGTTGAAGCAACTTCCTCACGCTGGTTCTGCAAATTACACAGGTCGAATAAGGCCTGAGGTGATGCAAAGGGGATGTGCAGTCACCACGAAGCAAGAGGATGCCGCGCATGCACGAGTGTCCAAGCAAATGTCCTTCGTGTCAGCGCAATTCGAGGCTTCTTTGATATGG